AAAGAAGGAAGACCATCAGATCACAGAAATCAACCATCCTTAGTGAACGAAATAAGACCATCGGATCCATCATCTTTAATGGAAGAAGGAAGACAATCAGGTCACAGAAATCAATCATCCTTAGTGAGCGAAAGAAGGTCATCAGACTACAAAAATCGAAGAATACCATTATATTCACCTTCTTTAGTGGAAAAAAGAAGTCGTTTTTACCACAGAAATCCAAAAGATCTTCCTTTGTTCACTAAAGATAAAGTGAACATAAGAAGAGATCGATCATCTTTAGTGAACAAAAAACATTTTTACCACAGAGATCAATTATCATTGGCAAAAGAAAGAAGACATTTGTACCGTAGAGAGCAATCAACTTTAGTTAAAGAAAGAAGACATTTTGGAGGTCGATCATCTTTAGTGAAAGAAGGAAGTCACTTTTACCACGGAGATCGACCATCTTTAATGAACAAAAGAAAACGTTCTGAAGATCAATCATCTTCAGCAAACAAAAGAATACATTTAGACCATGGTCGTTATTTTTCATCTAAAACATTTATAGAATTGGTATACGAATTTGCAGCAAAAACACACGTTATGAAACCTAGATATCAAATTTTCGAAATAAAAGATACAGATAACTTAGGTAAATTTTACTCAAAAGTGTTTCTCAATGGGGTTGAATACACGGGAAGAATTCGATCCAACGAAATACTTGCAAAGGAATCAGTAAGCCTAATCAGTTATGAATCTATAATAAATTCAATAAAAAGAAATTAATATAATAAATAATTTAAGGGAATGATAATGAATTAATTTGCAAAATAATAATAATAATAATAAAATAATAATAAAATAATAGCATAGCAATAATAAATAAAATAATGGCATAATAAAATAATACCATTCTTGTTTTATAAATTGACCAAAAAATTGAACTTTGATTGAACATAGTGATAACAATTCAAAGGAGAAAAGCATGGTGGATCTACACATGAGTTGTATAATATAAAGTTAAACGTCGCAGTGAGCGGTGGCACGTGCACGAATTTATTTGTATTTTAATATTAATATCAATATAATAAACAAAGCAATAAATAAAACAAAAACAGGACAAAGCGATGGATTGTTTTTCTTCTCAGTAGCAGTAAACGTCAATTAACTAAATATTAATATTAAATAGCTTGCTTGTTAAACCTTTTTTTTTTTAATATATATATAGTCAGACTCCTATATAGTCACATCCTATATAGTCACAACATAGTATAGTCACATTTTTTTGTTAATTTGAAAAATTCCCTGCTAATTAATCATAGTAAAAACATGCCCTGTATAATCACCAAAATTCTTGAAATTTCACTATGGTCCCGAGGTGCGTGACTATATAGGAGTCTGACTGTATTGCAAAAAAAAATTACAAATGCAGTGGCAAGTAGAAAAGATTGATTTGTTCCATAACATGATAAATTAATTTTTTTTTTATCGCCTTATCAAATTTGCAACCCTTCAGTATTAACCTTTTCCAATCTTTCGTATTCTTCTAATGTTGTTTTAGAGACCTTTAATTGAGCAGAGTCAAAACTGAGAATATGCAAGTTTTTTAACAAAGGAGCTTGGCTCATCAACATTCAACAACGTGGTTGGGCTTGTTTTATATATGGCCCAAATGGCCAGCAATTTGATTCAATTTTTTGGCTTCCACTAATTACACTGTCAGTGGGAGAGACGGTCTTAACGAAGCACATAGATAAAAAAAATGGATGATATGGTTTTTTTTTAATTAGTTATTTTTGATTTTTTTTTTTTTTTATGAAAGAATATTATTATTATGAATTTGATCAATTAACATTCCTTCATTTTATATTATTCGAATTTAGAAGGCATTTCTTAAACTAAAGCTTAATTTTATTCTAAGAAATTTATTTTTATAAATATTAATTAAAATGTTGAAACATTTAACGGTGGCTTTAATTATTTAAATATAAGTTTATTTATTATTATATAAATCAAAGGGGCAGAAGGAACGTATGTAATTCATAGTCAGCTTAGGCTTTTTTTTATTGGTCCGACATCTTTTCTTTCTTTTATTATAAATAGAACTTCCATCCGTTAAAAAAAAAATTTGGCAGCGCTTAACTTAACTTAACATAAATGATGACGTTGACGTTGACGTTGATGTTAACGTTAACGTTAACTTTAATTTAATTTTACTCTATACACGACGCAATCATTTTTGTAACACTTGAAATTTCCTTTTTTTTTGAAAAATTCCTTTTTTAAAAAATGACCAAAAATCTCCTTTTTAAAGCTAAATACGTTGCACTAAATTAAATTCGTCATATTCTTTCGTTAAATTAAATTAATTAACTTACGGTTACATCTCGGTTTAAAAAGCTCGTTAAATCATCATCATAGTAAAATTTTTGCACCGCCAGAATTGCAGAATTTGCATTTTTAAAACGTATAACCAAAATAAGCTCATAAATTTTTTCGTGATTTTCAATATGGTCGTCAAGACTTAAACCAAATATATAAAGACGAATATTGTGTTTAAGGGAATAAATTCTTTTGTTCATATAATATCGTCGTTGATTTTGCTAGAAAATCAACTATTGATAACTCTTAAATCCTCAGATATCTTTCTTTTAAAAGAAGACAATCAGCAGGTTCATCTGCTCCATTAAGACGACGGACTCTAAATAATATTGATCTGGTTCGTGCATTTACTCAGGCAGACATCCCTCTAGAGGATATACATTAAAACCTATTTTCTTTAAATATTATACAAATCTCGAATATTTTCTAATTTACAATAATGAAATTAGAAAATTAAAAGAAAATTTAATTAATCAAAGAATAAGTATTGCACTAGATGTATCAACCGATGCTGTGAATGTGTTGTTTGTCAATATTTTAGTTTTGTGAACTTACTAATTGGCTGCAACAAATGCTTTAAGATATATTTCTCAATTGAGATTTTACAAACACGATAAACTTTTTAATGTGTGGAATTTACATGCACAAAAAATAAATCTATATAATACGTTAAATAAAAATGTCTGTACAATGTGCTTAAATAATAATAATAATAACGATAATAGAATAAAATAAATAAAAAATTTATTCAACAACACCATCATTAATTAATACCACCAACACTATCGTTAATATTATGACCATATTGGTACTCCGCCTACAATTTCTTTTGGTTTGATAACTTGGCCAATAAGCGCTTGAGAAATTAGGTCATGTTCTTCTTGAATATGTTGCTTTTTATTACCTGTAGCTGGTGAAGCTGAAGGTGGTCTTGTTGCTGGAACAGCAGCTTTACCTAATTAATTGATTAATTAATTTAATTACAAAATTTTTTTGTTCATTATTAGAAAAATCACACAATGTACACATACAATTATTATTACCTTCTTGCTCAGAATGATTCATAAGAGTTCTTATTCTAGGTGCAAC